TTAGAACAAATCATTCTATTCATTAAGAGAATGCAACTATATATCTATCCCAACCACTTTGAATACACAGATACAAAATGGACATTCATAGGTATACCCCATTTATAGCAAACCTTTTAGGGAGTGAGAGCCTAAACAACAACCCAAACCCACGGACTCATCTCAAAGTGCCAGCTCTACAATTAAACCTGAATACTCAGGTTTTAGTTAAAACAACACATACATTAAATTGTATTTTTTTCTGAAAAGAAAAGGTAACAGATATTTTAATGATGTGAGCAGCTTTTTGTTGAAAGATAAAAGTTTGCATTTGGTGTTCCTTTGCACAATCAGTGTGGTCTTTGCTGTTGTATCCACGCTGATAATTTTTCAAACCTTGGGTCATACTTTGCTCATTTGAGAGGAACACATGCACCACTCAGGTTGCTTGTGTGTTAGTCTGTTTTGTGTATCAGATGTGACATAATTCAAAGCTGAAACAGCACCCCTCCACCCCCAAGATGATTCAAACAAAGTAAGAAAAGCAATCCCAAGTCCTTTCATTGACAACATTATTTGGCAGAGAATTCCACATTTTAAGGATTTTGTTTTCAGAACCACCAACTCTTCTGTGCTTTGTTGTCCCTTCACACTCTACTGTCTCCATTTTCTCAATTGCAGAACACAGGACGTAGAATTTATTTGTCCAGATAGGGCTTTCTTGAAATTCCAATAGCTCTGTTTCCAGATTTCTAAAACCTAACCAGTGTAAGAAGGAAAGTTTGAGTTCTACAAATTTGTGTTTATCTGAGGAAGTAAAAGGATAACAGGGTCACTTCAGTAGAGCCTTTTTAAAAAATTAATTTTATTGAGAAACAAATGGCAATAAGACAGTTTCAAAATCGATGAGGACAGTTTCAATAATTAATACATTGCCTATGGTTGTCTTTGTAGTAGTTATTCATAGTACAAGATGCAGACATGATATCCTGTCCAAACATTATTAGTACAAATCTTTATTGTCATTGAATTAAAAGAAAGTAGCTGTATATCTATCTTAACTACTTTGTATATACAGATGCAAAGTGGTTCTTCATTTTATTTATTTATTTATTTATTTATTTTTGTGGGGGGGGCAGCTCAGCCCGCCAGGGGGTGGGGCTGGCTGGCATGTGGTGCTGGGGGATTGAACCGCGGTCCCTGTGCTT